GGTCTATAAAATCATGAGTGGGGTGGAGAGGGTGAATAAAGAAAAGTTATTCATTAGTTCCCATAATATAAGGACTAGAGGACACCAAATGAAATTAATGGATAGCAGGTTTAAAACTAATACGCAAAAGTTCTTCTTCACACAGCGCATAGTCAACCTGTGGAACTCCTTGCCAGAGGAGGCTGTGAAGGCTAGAACTATAACAGAGTTTAAAGAGAAGCTAGATAAATTCATGGAGGTTAGGTCTATAAAAGGCTATTAGCCAGGGGGTAGGAATGGTGTCCCTAGCCTCTGTTTGTCAGAGGCTGGAGACGGATGGCATGAGACAAATCGCTTGATCATTGTCTTCAGTCCATCCCCTCCGGGGCACCTGGTGCTGGCCACTGTCGGCAGTCAGGCTACTGAGCTAGATGGACCTGTGGTCGGACCCAGTACAGCCGTTCTTATGTTCTTATATGTTTAAAATTACTGTGGCACTCTGAATTCATGTGTGAAAGGCTGGATCCTGCAGTCAGTATCAGGCTGTTTGACACAGCAAAATCAAGGGCTGGTCTTATATGTGTATATGTGTACCAGTATCTGATTTTGCATTACAAGTGATGCACTACCACATTTTCAAAAGGCACAGACTCTGGCCCTGTAGTTTATCTGTGGACAATACAGTGAATGGTACTTGCTTATTTTTGTCCTGTAATTTCACCAGACAAAACTTGCACTAAAACCTGAGACTAGAGGAGGTCTTCACAGAGAATCCATAGTTATGACAATTTATACTAGTGGAAGAGCTGCCTCTGGGGAAGATAACCCTCATCTTTAATGGACATTAAGTGCTATATTGCTTTCTTGGTGGGAGGAGGGATGTTCTGCTCCCCCTAGTATTGACTGGGTGGTGATGTCTTCTGAAGGACAGTCGAAAGGGGTGCAGATAGGAAGCTGCTTCCTTAGTGCTGTGCACTACAGTAAAACAGAGACGTTCGCGTTAGTGGATTATTATGAAAAGCCATCTGCGCTGTAACTGGAATTGAAGCAGAAGGATGTTGCAATGAGAGAAGTTGCAACTTCCTTGAGAAGTGTTCGAGCCAGGAAACTTTCCTGGCATGTTGGGAGTTTCCTTTGTTCTTTAATTAATTAGCGTTAAAGGTTCCAACAGGAAAGTTGGATTGTGCTAACAGCCACTTGGCAAAGGAGTTTAGCCCGGGGTGAACGCTCTGGAAGAGAGAATGGGGGAGGGAGGGCAGATTTGCTGTGATGATTTTGGACTAACAGCCCACTCTTATCTTTTCAACCGTCAAGACATGGGTGTTTATAAATACTAATGGGAATCACACACGGCTCCTGAGAGCTTTCCAAAGATGAAGACAGCAACAGAAATACTCAGAATCCTAGAAGCTGGGGGGGGAGGGTTGGATCTTGAGATTCCAGTGGATGAGAAGCTGGATATGAGTCAGCAGGGCGCCCTTGTAGCCAAGAAGGCTAATGGCATAGTGGGCTGCATTAGGAGGAGCATTGCCAGCAGACCTAGAGAAGTGATTATTCCCCTTTATTCAGCACTGGTGAGGCCACATCTGGGGTATTGCGTCCAGTTCTGGGCTCATCAGTACAGAAAGGATGTGGACACATTGGAAAGGGTCTAGTAGAGGGCAACCAAAATGCTGAGGGGGCTGGAGCACATGACCTACGAGGAGAGGCTGGCGGATTTGGGTTTGTTTAGTCTGCAGAAGCGAAGAGCAAGGGGGGATTTGAGAGCAGCCTTCAACTACCTGAAGGGAGGTTCCAAAGAGAATGGAGAAAGGCTGTTCTCAGCGGTTGCAGGTGGCAGAACAAGGAGCAATGGGCTCAAATTACCGTGTGGGAGGTCCAAGTTGGATATTTGGAAAAATTATTTCCCTAGGAGGGCGGGGAAGCGCTGGGCTGGGTTCCCTAGGGTGGGGGTGGAATCTCCATCCCTAGAGGTGTTTAAGTCCCAGCTTGACAAAGCCCTGGCTGGGATGATTGAGTTGGGATTGGTCCTGCTTTGGGGAGGGGGCTGGACTCGTTGACCTCCTGAGGTCTCTTCCAGCCCTAGGATTCTACGATTTTCAGCCCACCCAGCAGACACCTAAAATCTAACCATAACACTGTGGGGACTCCCCTTCAGCCAGGTCTGTGATCCAAGCCTCCTGTCCTTCACACAACACAAAGCAAAGGGAATTCTGTTAACTGGAACAACTAGCTATGGATTTAGATTTGCTGTTCTGGTCAGTTTCCTGATCCATGCTCTCCTACTGCATAGCTTGACCCTGAAGCCCAGGTAAGAGTGCTACTGCAAGACTGATGCTTGATTGAAGGAAGACGCGTCCATCTAGGTAAATGTAAATATAACGCCAAGCGCGGCTGCTGAGAAAATCTTTGGGAGAAAGGACCGAGCCTGCAGCTTCCTGGCAACCGGAAGCAGCGGACAAGCAGCGGAATGTTGTATCCCAGAATGTTACTTCTCTTTTTCACTGTTTCCCGCCCCCCTTTCTGCAGAGAAGACTGGGACACGAAGCAGGCAGAGTGGAGGGAAGGGGCTGGGTGGTCAGAGGGAAGCAGACACTGAACGTTATTTATATGGAATCCTTAAAGGGGAGTCGGGCGAGCCCTCCGCGTCGGCAGTGGCTAGCTCACCGGAGAGGCAAGCTCCGCCCTGTTTCTACGGGATGTCTTGTAACAGGCATCGGAGGTCAGAGGTCACCTGGGGAGGGTCGGACTGCTTCCCAGCTACTTTCTGAGCTGCTGCAGCGTGGGTGGCTGGCCAAGCAAATCCGCATGAGTAGGTCTGTTGTCAGCAGCCGAGGCAGGCAGGCAGAAATGGGCCCTCTCGCTCCTGCAGCCAGCCGGGGGAGAGTCACCCAGACCTGTTCTTTTACGACATACACCGGGGAGCATGCAGAGGAGGAGCTGGCTTAAGCCCTTCCCCCTCCTTAGGTCAGGGATCGCTTGCGTAGGAGAACAGCAAGACCAGCTGGGCCTAGTTATCAGTTACACACTAAAGGAGGCTGCAGCTGATTGAGCTCAGTCCCTTTCCCCTGGGACCCAGTGTTTAGAAAGGGCCCAAAGCCCTCTAGTCAATCTCATTTGTCTGAGAACGCAGTGGAGTGCCCCCCCTCCCCTCCGCCCTGCCAGTCTTCTGATGACAGACAGGACTCCCTGAGTTTAGGGCAGGGGTGGGCAATACCGCTCCGCGGGCTGGATCCATCCCGCCACGCCGATTGATCCGGCCTGCGGCCGCCCTGCCACTCCCCCACCGCCCTGCCAATCGAGACCTGGGAACAGGGAAGCGCGCAAAGTCTCCTCCTGCCGCCAGTGGTGTGCGGCGCCTAGAGGGAACCGCCAGCAGTTCAAAATAACCCAGGCCCATTAGGGTCTGTGGGCGGGGGGAACCCCGCCTCTTCCGCCTGAGCCCCGCCTGCTGACGCGACCAATGAGTAGTCCTGGGTAAAACAACAAGTAGTCCTGGGACGCCTTAGAGACTAACAGATATACATATAGTATCATCAGCTTTCATGGGCACAACCCTCTTCCCCAGATGAGCTGGAGTGGGGGAGAAAGGAACCCAGAATTTATAACAGAAAAAGAAGGCAGGGGGGAAGGGAAAAAAAGCACTTGTCAATTGGGGTACGTCTACACTAGATTTGTTTGTTTGGCAAAGGGAAATGAAGCCGCGATTTTAAATAATCGCGGCTTCATTTAAATTTACATGGCTGCCGCGCTGAGCCGACAAACAGCTGTTTGTCAGCTCAGCGCGCTAGTCTGGACGCTCCCCTGTCGACATGAAAGCCTTTTATCGACATCCCCGGTAAACCTCATCCTACAAGGCATTACGGAGATGTCGATAAAGGGCTTTCCGGTCGGCGCGGGAGCGTCCAGACTAGCGCGCTGAGCAGACAAACAGCTGATCAGCTGTTTGTCGGCTCAGCACGGCAGCCTGTCGATAAAGGGCTTACCGGTCGGCGCGGGAGCGTCCAGACTAGCGCGCTGAGCAGACAAACAGCTGATCAGCTGTTTGTCGGCTCAGCGTGGCAGCCATGTAAATTTAAATGAAGCCACAATTATTTAAATCACGGCTTCATTTCCCTTTGCCTACAACCCTCATTTACATGGCTCCATTGATGGAGCCATGTAGTTTAGACACAGCCTTGTAGTGCCGGTGCTAATGAGGCTAAGTGAGTGAGTTGGAAGTGTCCCATACTTAGCTTTTGATGTAAATGTAAGTGTAAGGAAGACTGGTTTTATAAGGGGATACCTGGTTAATGTCTTTGTTCAGGCCCAGAGAAACAGTGTCACATTTGCATATGGACTTCAATTCTGGACTGTCTCTCTGTAATTGGTTAGTGAAAGACGTCAATTCTGGACTGTCTCTCTGTAATTGGTTAGTGAAATTCCTTTGTAGAAAAAGGACTGGTTAAAATGCAGCCCTGCCAGTTTCTCTGTGTTACCATATCTGACTTGTGTTCATTTATCCTTTGTCGTAGAGTCTGTCCAGTTTGGCCAATATACATGGTTGTAGCGGTTAAGTTATACGACAAAGTCACTAGAGTCAGATAAGCTAGTCACATGAACAATTTAGCAGCAGAATTCAGTCCCTCTTTCTGTTTGGGTGTTATCTGCAAACAGACTTCACATTTTTATGATTTTGTTTGTTGTTCCAGACTCTGATGTGTCTTTCTGGGCACAGATGGCACTCTCTGGACTGGTCGTAAACGGTCACATTCACCATTCACTGCCGCCTTTTCTACGCAGAAGAGATACAGCTGCAATATGTGGGCCACAGCTGACTTCATACAGACCCTGTACGAACTCTCCCAGAAAACTTTCATAGCAGGAAGAGGGACTATTTACCTGTTCATCTTCACTGTCTGTCCCACCTAAACTCAAAGAGCTATGGCGTTGTACAGGGTTGGAGGACTGTAGGATAAAATAAGGAAAAGGGTAAGTCAAGGGAAGCATTGCACACAGTGATCTGGGACTGCACACAAAAGTATCATTATGAGAAAATACAATAGGAAAAGTTAGGAGAGGTTGTTGCAGGATCCTTACCTCATAGCATAGTCATGCTTTCCTTCCTCATCGGTGAGCAGACACAAGGGACAGGAACTTGCATACATTTATACCTGTATCCTGTTATCAGATTCATATTGTGGAGACAGGGCGGCGTACAAAAGTATACGCAGTAAGGGGACATACACCTAAGTGGAGAATTGAGCCTATAGTGTTTCAAAGTTTCACAGACTACCTGCCACTGTTAAAGATTCAGATTTATAACTAGGATTAGACTCCCTCAAATACCTCCCCCACGAAAATATTGTGGAAACATTTTTAAAGTAGAAAGAAAGTTCTCGAAAAAGTCCCCCGCCCCCCGCACACACAACCACTTTGAATCAGATTGAAAATATATCTCGGAACACTCTCTGCTTCCCTTATGGGTTCTGTTACATTAAATCAGATTGAAAATGTATCTCGGAACACTCTCTGCTTCCCTTATGGGTTCTGTTAAAATTGCCAGTGCCCCTCGTTCCTGTGCTGAAGCATCTGAGCGCCTCACCATCTGGAATATATTTCTCCGCACAACATGCCCCCATCAGGAGGGGAAGTTCGGTTGTAGATGAAGAGACTCAGAGAGGCTACATGACTCCGTCGTGGCCACACACAACTGTGAAAGCAGACAACTGAACACAGGTCTTGCAGATCCCAGGTTAGAACCCTACCCACTAGACCACTCTTCCTCTCCAAATGTGGCCCAACATAAGAACCACTGCACAATTCAACAGAGCTGACAAATATCTAGAAGGCAATAGTTTGAAACCTTAAGACATCTGCAGTAAGTCTGTAATGACCCAAAGTAAGAATGGTGTTTATTTCTCCTACAACAGCAGATCAATCATTCTGTCCAAAGTGTGTAAGAATCATAGAATCATAGAACTGGAAGAGACCTCAGAAGGTCATCAAGTCCAGCCCCCTGCTCTGGGCAGGACCAATTCCAAATAAATCAACCCGGCCAGGGCTTTGTCAAGCCGAGACTTAAACACCTCTAGGGATGGAGACTCCACTACTTCCCTAGGTAACCCATTTCAGTGCTTCCCCACCCTCCTAGTGAAATAGTTTTTCCTAATATCCAACCTGGATAAGAGATTTGACTTGCATGTACTTCTCTGATCAGTGGATAATCATCATATGCTGACATTCTGCTGCTAGAGCATTCTATACACTAGTTTAAAAAACCGGTCCAGATATAATATTATTGTTCAACTAATTAAGGAACTCGGCTCTAGAGACCTTGGTAACAGATCAGTTTCACTCTTTAAAAGTGCTCTGAAGTATTTTATTATTTGCAGACCCGTAGAAAAAACACACATTTCCCCCCTCGAAGGAGGCTGTTTACAACCAAGACTTTACCCCCTTTTCAACCTGTCCTTTTCCAAATAAACTTTGCTTCATGCTAATGTGTGTTTACATGTAATCTTTACATGCATGAGTTCCGGATCTTACTTAACAATCCATTTATTGTAATGCCTCCCCACCATCTTCAAACCATTCTCCTGACTGCTATATAAAGACTTCCCATGGTGCTCTGAAGCTTCGCTTGGATACATACAAATGTTCTGTGTTAACAACTCTTTGTGGCTAACGGTCCTTGCTACTCTCCCCTGCCACTGGGACCCAGTCCTCTTCTATGTGTCTGCTATTTCCATCTGTCTTGCATTTGGGCCTAGACATTGTTACCTGAGTTCCTTAAAACACGGTTTTCCTCCTCTTAGTTTGCTTTCTCTCTAGGTCTAGACATTGTTACCCGAGTTCCTTAAAACATGGTTTTCCTCCTCTTAGTTTGCTTTCTCTCTCAATGCAAAACCAGCTACTCTTTCTCCCTGATCTATCTTTTTGCTGAAGTTCCCATGCTTACTAGTCGCTTACATCCCCAACATTCAGTACTACACAACCATATGGAAACAGTCTTGGGTATTTTCACGCTCTTCTGATGCAGCAGATGTATTGTAGGTCCCTGTCAGAGGAGTCCAGATTCAGTCTGTTAGTCCATTTTGGGATGGCACATCTATGTTCCAACTATCCTCTAATTAGGCATTTCCAAGATGAATATTGTCTTTGCTTTAAGAGAGACATCTTCACTCCAGAACCTTGGAGCGTTCAGGGATTTCAGTCCAAGTGCAGCCAGGACATAAGTAAACAGAACTCTGTTTGTTGCAACTCTTATGCCAGGTCTGAATTTGGCCATACTGCAGCAACCAAATCAACAGTTGGATAGGTTTTTCAAGCCAGTTAGGAGTCTACTGTTACTAAAGGCTGAGTCTGTTTTCATCAGCCACATAAATCCCTTTGCCTGGTTCTTCCCATCAGCCCAAATTTAACTCCGAGTTGAAGTATGAATTTACTTTTTTGCTGTCTTTATGGCTTTTATATAAATGTGCCCACAGCTTTACTATCTCCCAGCAGTATTTCACCTTTCAATAAATCTGCTGGATTTTAAGATTATGAAAAGCACAGTTTGTTCTAACTTGTTCCTTAACAGGGTTTTTTTTGTGGAATTCTTTAGCACAGAACACTCTAAACTTTGTGCATATTTCAGGAACCACTATTACATGGTTGGAATTTTTGGAAGACGGTTTGCCCACTCCCGTGCATGTGGAGAGGTAGATGTTTATTATTATGCTATTTTGTGGAACTAATGGCTTTTTAAAGCCTGAATCTTTTGCACTTTAAGTTGAATCAGGAACATCTTTTGTAGCAATATACAGAGATGGATCCGGATCCTGAATTAAGTATGGTGCAGGTACACATCCACAATTACTCCAGAAAACCTGTTTATCTTTGCATATGTTTAACAAATTGGATTTGTTTTAATTACATGCAAACACAAAATAGCTTTTAAACACTTGAAGTCTGTCCAAATCCCTTCCTCACCACTGGATCTTGAGTAATCCTGCCTCTAACTTAGTGATGAGCCTCCAATGGGACTGAGATAATGGACCATTGTTGACCTAGAATTGTAGGAGGACTGTCAGTTTAAAAAAAAAAAGGATTCTGTGCACCAACTCTACCCATTTTGAATGTAATCTACAATAGGGATGATTTCTAAATATTTTTATACTTTCAGAAAGAATTCAACTTTTATAACCCATTTTTAATAATCTATTCATCCATTGACTTGCAAACTTAAAAAAAAAAAGTTTTGTTTGTTTTTTATTCTGATACTGAATTTGAAAGAGGGAAGCCACCAGGCATGATAAATCAGAGAAGCCTGGGTTTTGTATAAATGAACCCACATAAAAGATGGAACAGAAATAAGATGAATCTTTCATAGTAAAGTATTTTTACTTTTAGGAGTAAGACTCTTAAAACATATTTTAAAATATCTTTTTTTTTTTTAAATAAGACTTTTAAAAAAAGACTTTAAAAATATTATTCTATACAGGCAATTCCATTTATCCCTCTAGTATTGAGGTGACTTGATTAACGTACCTTGCTTGGTGAACATGTTAGAACTTCATGAAGAGTGGAGATTTCTGGAGGGCTTTTAGGTAATCCATCATCTTCTGAAACAGCACCTGTATCTTCCAATTTCCTGCTAGTTATAAGGAGAGGAGAAGACCCAAGTTTGATGTTCTGTTGTAACTGGAGCTGTGGGGCGAAGGGAAACATAACACAAAATCTTAACATATTTTTAACTATAGAGGAGAAACCTTCATTATGTACAATTCAGCCAAGTGATGTCAGCTACCAGACAGAAGCGTTTAGTGCAGAGAAATATGCAAAGGAAAGGGCCATCCAGAAAGCTTAGTAAGCAGTGAAATTGTGTTTAGTGACATTCTTCCACAACCCCCTGTGAACAGCGTCTGATGCACAAAATCTTGAAAAAACAATTTGATTCCGCCCGTTATTAGGGAGTAATCTCTCACCACCCCGAGCAGAACCACCACCAGCTAGGTTATTACCACACACGATGTTTATGCTGTACATCCCAGGCTGTTTTGAATTCCCAGTTTACACCTCAAGCCCTAGTCAACGCCCTCTCTGTCCACACCCACATCTAACTCCCTCTGTTTGGTCATGTCACTTCATCTTTTTCTTCACCACTAAAAATAACACTTGCCTGTCTTACGGCGGAGGTGTGATGGTCCATTAGCTAGTGTTAGTAAGGAATTACAAGGGATGACGTTTACCAGAAGGCACACAGAAATGTCCAGAGTTGAGGGCTGGTAGTTCCTCAAATCCTGGTTTTATTTGGTCAATTTTTTTTCAAAGAAAGACCACTATGCACCCCCCAACAAGCAGCTGAGCCCCACTTTTGCACCAAGAAGGAAGGGGTCGTCGACCTGACGAATTGCTCTCTCTCAGAGATTTTATGCCAAGAGAGCCATTTAAAAATGTGAGGCCCATCCCAATGGATCATCTTACTAGCTCTTCCCCCAAAACCTCAAGACAACAGGGAGTGATTGTGGCTGACAGGAATCACTGAGGTTTGTCAGAGAGGGTGTGAATTGTTTTGCAAGGCTGCCCAAGAAATGCTAGGATCAGTCTGACCCTTGGGGGGAAAAAACAAAACAAAAAGCCCAAAGTCGGCAACCTCACAAGTGGCCAGATGTTCCCACTTAAAACACACAACAAAAACACATCTCATCGCAGGAAACACCAGTTCTGAAGCTGTAGCTATGTCAGGGCTGGAACATGGACAAGGTCTGAAAAATGGCTCATCTAAGCACTCCTGACAGAGATCAGGAGTTAAACCAGAGCTTGGGGAGTTTACAAAGATCTAGGGGGCTGATTCTCTGTTGCCCACTATGTTGTATGGTCATTTACACATCTGCGAAATTGATGGAAAATGCTACTGTTCTGAAGTGGTAGCAATTTACACCTATTTTGCCCTCCAATGTATGGCTGTAAACAACGACCAGGCAACAGGGAGTCAAACCTCTTTTCCACATCTTCCTTATTCAGCTGAAACAAAATACAGGACTATGTAGCACTTTAAAGACTAACAAGATGGTTCATTAGATGATGAGCTTTCGTGGGCCAGACCCACTTCCTCAGATCAAATAGTGGAAGAAAATTGTGACTATTTTCTTCCACTATTTGATCTGAGGAAGTGGGTCTGGCCCACGAAAGCTCATCATCTAATGAACCATCTTGTTAGTCTTTAAAGTGCTACATAGTCCTGTATTTTGTTTCAGCTGAATAAGGAAGATGTGGAAAAGAGGTTTGACTCCCTGTTGCCAGCATCTGCCTTAGCACACCACAAATGTACCCCACATCAGAGGTGCAGAAGCGAGAAGGCAGTCTGTAAATGCTGAACGGATGACTGATCAAAGAATGCAATGAATGCAGCAAGCAAACAAGACCCACGACACATTTGCACATCTACTCCCTAAGTGGAAGTAAAATCTGCTCCACTAATATTTTACGAACCCTGCCCACCGTAATTTATTAAATGCAGAGGGCAAGATGTGACAGGAGAAGAGGCAAATGTACGATCTCTCTTGTACCGGCAGAAGTATCTATTGATACTAAGAAATATCTGGCTTTTTTGCTGCGCAGCTTTTTGATCCGAATGAGAGTTAGGTTAAAGGAAAGATTCTCCCCTTTGAGCACAAAACGAACCTTAGGCGTACTCGGTTACTGTGCAGTGTAGAGGATAGGTGAGGGAAGAGGAGTCAAGGAGATGGAGGTAATGCAATCAGAGTATACAAAATGTAGGGGGGCTTTTCCCCCCAAAAGGTCCTGCCATATGAAAATATTGTTCCCACCCCCACGGGACTCCACCCCTCCTGAGGTCTCTCCCTACCCTATAATTCTGTGACTCATTGTTTTGCAAGTAATATTCTGAAGTGAAACTTGGCCTCGTCTATATTTTCGTTACAAGGTCTCTCTCTGTGCATCTTCCGCTATTTAACATGGGATGCGACCTTGTTTTGCAGCAGTGGTTCATGCTGCCCAAGGAAGGCCTGTCGGTGGCCTTGGACTGCGTTATCAATCCCGGGGAAAACCTTAAACCGTTCTCTCTGTGGCGTACGCCGGGCAGCTATCTGAGGGCAATAACCAAGGGCTGATAAGGAACTTGCCAAGGAGGGCTCGGTATGTGCTTTGGAAGAAGGAAGTGAGCTAGCAGAACAGAGTGTCCTCAGCTGACAAGATAGGAAGAATAATGATCTAAATAAAGCTGTTATTAAGAATGCCCTGACGCAAATCTGTCATCCCTCACCACATTCAAGCCCGCACAGAGGTGCTGGACAATACAATAAAACCCAACTCAGTAGCAGAGGGATGCCTTTAAAATAACACCAATGAACATTAGAACGGCCCGACTGGGTCAGACCAAAGGTCCATCTAGCGCAGGGTCCTGGCTGCCAACAGTGGCCAATGGCAGGGTCCCCAGAAGGAATGAATGGAGAAGGGAATCATCATGTGATCCACCCGTCACCTATTCCTGGGGTTGCCATGTGTCCGGTTTTGACCCGGATAGTCCGGTATTTGCAGCCTCTGTCCGGTTTAAAAAAAACAGAAAATACCGGACACGTAAAATGTTTTTCTCGGACGGAAGGCCACTTGAGACATTCTTCCCCGGCTGTGTCTGGCAGGGGGAACAGGGGAATTTAAAGGCGCAGTAACTCTTTTCTGTGTGCAGTTTTTTTTCCCCTCAATAACTTTGTTTCCCCCCCCCCCCCTCCTCTTTTTTTTTTTTTTGCTCAACCAATTTTTTCCCCCGTCATGTTCGGTCTCTTTTGTGAAAGAACCTGGCAGCCCCACCCATTTCCAGCTTCATCAAAAGGGATATATTTCAACATACACACACATCCTTACCCAAAAAGCAGGCGCTATGACATAATGAACGGAAGGTCCTTGGGGAAGCAGACCGCCTCACATTAGGAAGATTGTAAGTTAAGCTTGAGCGCTCTCGAGCTGCTTAACCAAAATGGGTATCTGTATCTTTAAGCCGCAGAACAGAGTCAAAGAAGAGTGCATCTGTTTTCCAAGCCCTCCACCGCACGCTTTGAGGAATTATCTGGAGAGTCGATCCAAGCAAGTTTCCAGCAGGGAAGGAGCCAGCTGCGGGAACGTGCGCTTACCTGTAACGTTTTCACTTTCCCAGGTAGGTTTTCCTGAGAAGACACGTCCCTGGCCGTGGTTTCTGATGCAGATTCAAAAATGAAGACGCTGTCATGGGACAAGGCTTTGTTTCCCAGGCTTCCTTTGGACCTGAAAGGGAAGGAAGATCTTTGAGGGCCCACTCTCCACACCTCCGAAACGTCGCATCCTTCCTGCCGTCGGACCCCTTAAGAAGGGCCCGGTGGTCAGAATATTTCAGTAGGAATCCGGGGAGCGGGGTTCTGTGGGGGGACCACAGGCAAGTTACTCTCTGTGCGTCTGTTTTCCACCCCCTCTTTTGTGGCTCTCGCCTCGTTAGACTGTAAGCTCTGAGGGGCAGGGATTGTATCGCTGTGTGTTTACGCAGGCCCTACCACAAATAAAGCCCTGATCTCAGCTGAGACCTTTACATGCTGCCATAACACAAGCAATAAAGAATCATTTAAAACAGCTCTGTGACTCCCACTTTGGACCTGGCCAGCAAGGCTTCCTAGACGAGCATGTTACAAGGATAACTCTGCTTTGTAATCCCCCCCTTCCCCCCACACACACTTCTCACTGTGGGTTTGCTTTTTTCTTTTTCTCCATGGCAACTCCATGTATTGCCCTGCTCCTCTGGCTTGAGGGAAAGTTGGATTTTACACTATTGTTAGCGAAACCCCTTGTCCTGTATCACAACCCTTCCTTGCAGAGTTCAAATCAGTGGGTTACACGGCCTGGAATATATCAGAACAGCAGAATACGATCCCAATTCTCCGTTCCAACAAGGCGCCTTCGTGCCATACCGCCCCGCAGAGGGCTAAATGCAATCACTGGGAAACCCCTCCAGTGCAAGCTGAATCTCTGAGTGGCATAAAGCCAGCAGGGCAGCTCCACACCATGCCTTGCGTCCTTCTGTCTAGCTTTTCCTGCCTGTGGGGATAGCCCATCAGAGCCTGCATAGCTGGGTGCGGGTCAGACCAGCCCTGGTCCTGTGCAGATAGAACCACACACACACCCACCCCTAGTTCAAATCCTGCTTCGGACAGAATTTGAAAATGTGGTTCCCCAACAGGGTATTTTCTGTCTACATAGGCAAAGGGAAACTGTTATAACACGTTGGAGCACAAATATATTTAAAAACGTAGATTGGAATGATGCCCAAGGCACAAGTACCAATATAAGGCGCGCCAAGTCAGACGACCCAGCTACACTTCCTGGCTACAGCTGGGTGAATAATGGGTGTTTTAAGGAGGTGACAACTAAAAAAATAATTTCAAGTCCAAAAAAAGTCATTTCAAAATGAAAAACAAACGTGGATTTTTACAGAAATCCGTCCCCCCCCCTCCCCCACACACACACTTGAACATGTACAGCCTGGATAAAACTGGTTCAATTCAGTGAAGCATTTCCACAGAGCCACATCTGCATTATTTTTTCCACACAAAAAAGAATTCTCAGGTGAAAATGTTTGCCTCCGTCTTCTCCTCAGTCCAGCTCTGTGCTCTTC